TACAGTTGTATTACTCACTAATTTATCCCTTCTTGACTTATAGTTTAATAACTTGGGGGAATACATATCAAACAACTCTTTTACCTCTTATCATCTTACAAAAAAAAGCAGTCAGAATAATGACATTCTCAGAATATAATTCCCACTCTAGTCCACTTTGTCAGAAATTAAAAATACTTAAAGTGACTTAATATATTTATATAGTGCTTTATTTATGTACGACTATTAGTCTAATAGACTGCCATTAATTTTTGATAATTTCTTCAAGAGTATCAACAAAGTGCATCAATATCAAACCAAACTGGCAAGTAAGATTTCATACTATCTGCCAAAAGCAAGGACTAATTAAGGCAAATTTAACATTAGTTTTTTCGGTGCTAAAGTTTGGAATTCCATTGATGACTCACTTAAATCTAAGAGTCGTGCTTGTTTCAAAAATCTCTTAAAAGAATTGATTATCTCCAACTATTGACTGGTACATTGATGTACTTTAATTTTTCATTTTTTTGTGTGCACATTCATTTTTTTCTTTTTCGTTCTCTGTATGTGTGTCTGTGTCTGTGTCTGTGTGTGAATGAAATCATGTCCTGTTTTTTTTCATATATTCTGTAACTTTATTGCAATATTTTTTCCGCTTGGCCCAGCCACTTAGCTCGATTAGCCTTAGTTATTTCTAAGTTGCTGTGCTCTGTTTTTCATTGTTATTTTTTCACATTGCATGTATTTATTTTTATTGTAAAATTTTTCTCGGCACAAAATAAAGATTGTTGTTGTTGTTGCAGGAAAGTTTGAGCAGGAGGACATTGATGGACATATACTTTTGTCGACTACTGTACAGAGCAGTCAAGCCATAGAGAAGTTAGGACTCGATACTACTGGCAAGGAAGGAAAGTTCTCGGAGAAATAAATGAACTCAGTGGAGGACCCATTGCAGGTAAGACTTATGTGAAAAATTATACAAGCCTCAAAATTTTGAATGCCTTTGATTATGCATTAAGCTACATTGTGGTTTGCACTTTCAGGCTGTATTTATGCGAAATATTTTAGCTATGTTTAGCTTTGCTTTTTGTAGCACAATTTGTCTTCCCTATATCACAAATTATGTGCCCAAAATTCCTTGCCACTTGTTGAAGAACAAACACATTATGCAATGCGTAATAATTGGCCATGTTAGTTGTAGAGAACGTCAGGCCAGGAAGAATTGTGCATGGCTTGATTTCTTCCAGTTTAGTCAAATACCATTTTTGATAGACTAGTTTGTTTTCATGCAAAAAGATTTTCATAAATACGTAACTGAAGATTCTTTCTAATAGTGTAAAACAATATGACACATAGGTCTAGGCGTACTGAAAATCATGCAATGATCAGATTTCGATATAATAGTTAGCTTATATTACCATTTTAACTATACCGTCTATTTGCTGTATCGTATTTAAGGAAGCTGTGAGTGAGAGAAGCCCATGTCAAGAACTGATTTTTCCTTGGTGGACAGAATACTGACCAACACAGAAAACAATCAATTGAATACGACATATAGAACCATTTATTACAAAGTAAGTCTCCATATATTTGGTTTTTATTCTTGTAAAAAGTTTAGCATCTTAAGGGCTGCAGTCACATACAAGTTCCTGAGTACAATTCTTAGTCTTCATGAGTCAAAAGATGCCTGGTGCCAATCATAAAAGCCATTGAAAATCATCTTTCACTTTCATCAATTTACTAATTATGATACCACAAGAGCAAGTAAACCTGCACAACCCTTACTTGACAGCCCTACATCTGCCATATCACAAAAACTATTTAGATTTTGACCATAACCCTAAGTGGGTATAGGGCCTGACAAAGACTATTTATTGGAAATTTAAAGCACCATCACATTGCTAAATAGGTTTACTGCAGAGCAGCAGGAGTAGCTAGTCTATCCACGAAGTGGTTTCCAATTTACCTGTAGTAATTTTAATCCCATGTTGCCCCTCTTTAACACAGAAAGAGGAAAATCACTAATTACATCAAACAGGCTTGGCCTTTGGGGTCTCCAGCACCAAGGTTTAGAAATAATCCAGAAGCAACAAAGAAAATGCTTGTTGTTGTTGACACCCTTGGCAAGGACAAGGGATTTACTTTACCAAGGCTTGCACTGGGGAGGAATGCTATATTGCAAATTATACACAAACACATGGATGAATGATGATGTAAGGAGTCTGAGCAGCTGGAAGTGACTAGCAGACTGTGTCTTGTAAGCAGCAGTGAAAGTGAAACCACAAGTAATACGAGTGGAGACAGCCCAGAAAGTGATGAGGCAAAGTCAAATAAATTGGATGATTACTACAACACAGGTGAGCCATGTGTAATTCAGATTGCTACCTTTCTGGTACATTCTGGGTTGTGATAATTTACATGTATCATTCCAATAAGTGCCATATTTCTAACAAGCACCTTTTGTTTTCTCTTTTTAATACACTGTAAGTACCCTGTCTTCAGTACGCACCCCTAAATAAGAGGGAAGGTTTCAGTTCTTGGTAACTCTTGCTCTTGTTTTGCTTTGATGACTTGAGTTCAGGATCACAATCTCAGTTTTTTTCTAGCTAGCCTGTTAATGCTGATTGAGATTCTAGGGTAATTTTGACCACCCTTTATCATTTTATTTTATTTATTGGCTATTGATACAGTATTTGGATAGTTAATACAGTATTGTATATAGAAAGTTCTCCTCATCAGCATCGGCAGGATAGCTATGATAGAAGTCCAATGACAGGAATGACTAACGCATCTTGAGCTACCTTAAATTGTACACAATTTAGGTTTGATTTTACTGTAGAATTCTACTTATTTGGAAATAAGTAGCTGGCTGAAAAACCATTTTTGAGTTGTTTTTTTTGTAAAAAAATACCTCTTAGTCGGCACGTTGGGTATGTTATGGACGGGTCAATGGATGAGTGAGTGAGTGAGTGAATGAGTGAGTGAGTGAGTGAGTGAATGAGTGAGTGAGTGAGTGAGA